CTAATCACGGCGGCGGGTTGACAAACCACGTCCCAGTGCTCGTGACCTGTGACCTGCTCCTCAACTCTTCGCTCGAGTTCAGATCCAGGGACTTGCGATGGGTTCACCACTTTCAGCAGTCCTTGCTCAGCTGTTCACGGAAACCCTCGAGGCCGACCACTACCGTAAAATTGTGGGAAGGAACGTGGTCTGGCTCCGCTACGTGGACGACATCCTCGCTGTAGTACCCACCAGGATGAACCTACCAGATCTCCACAGACTCAATACAGTGCACCCCTCCATTCAGTTAACAACAGAAGAAGAAAGAAATGAACAGCTTCCTTTCCTGGACACCTTGGTCCAAAAAAGACCAGATGGACCGTTATTTTCCGTATACAGGAAACCCACCAATAAAGATGATTTCATTCATTATTTTTCTACCCATAGTAAGAGAACAAAAGAAGGCGAGCCATCAGAATATGCAGCCCTGAGTTCTTGGAAGAAGAAATGCAACACTTCTGTAACTTTCCAACACCTCCACTATCCCCGCTCCATGCTCACCCACCTCCGACAAAAGGTTGAGAAGATCATGAGTACACCGAGAGACGAAGACACACAGAAAAAGACTCAGAGGATAATCATCCCCCACTCGGAATTGACTGAGCACCCGCAGGCCCTGGTGGTCCGTACTCTAAAGATAGCTACGTCTTCAGGCAAGAAGATCGGAGACATCGTGAGAGAAAAGAGGTCAAACCACAACAGACCCCTCAGCCAGATGTACAGCATACCCTGTGGGGGTTGCGACAAACTTTACATAGGTGAAACAGCACGAGGGCTGCACGAACAACGAATCAGCCAACACCGCAGTGCTCTCCAACTCCACGACACGAGAAGCGCATTCGTTGTTCACGTAGACGCCGACGGTCACCTCCCGAAGTGGTCCCAGGCCTCCATCATAAAGCAAGGCCTGGCCCCACGACAAAGGATGATGGTAGAAGCGGCGTTCATTCATACAACCAACAACATCAACACCGCTACGGGGAGCCACGATCTAACCAAGGTCGTCGCTCACCTGATAACCGACGACATCTCTCTCTCTCTCTCTCTCATATATAATATATATATATATATATATATATATATATATATATATATATATATATATGTGTGTGTGTGTGTGTGTGTGTGTGTGTGTGTGTGTGTGTGTGTGTGTGGTGTGTGTGTGTATAAATATATATATATATATATATATATATATATATATATATATATATATATATATATATATATATATATATATATATATATATATATATATATATATGTACACACACACACACACACACACACACACACACACACACACACACACACACACACACATATATATATATATATATATATATATATATATATTAGAGAGAGAGAGAGAGAGAGAGAGAGAGAGAGAGAGATTTACTATTTAATTTTTTTTTTTTACTATGTTTTTTTAAATCAAACAAAACGCGCAATTCCAGATATGATAGGGAAGGCAATTGCAAACTCGTTCTATTTGTCCTTATTGTTTACCAATTTAATTCACTTCTTCACTTCAGGAAATCGGAGCAAGATTTACATACTGATATGAGTTTTGAGATTATTATTTAGCTATGTTTTTTAAATCAAAGAAAACGCGAAATTCCAGATATTATAGGGAATTCTATTGCAAACTCACTATTTACACATGGGGCAAGAAAAATGCAGATAGGGTAGGAATATCACAATATGAATTAGTGAATAAAAATATAGTAAGGAACAGAAATAATGAGAAAGATAAGCCTTATTTATACTATTGTCATAATAGGACGTTGGATAGCATAAAACTGCAAGGTACGAAAGAAGAGACAACGGAAAAAAGGGAAAGATAAATATTAAGATGCCCATAGATTTCCATGCAACGCATACACTGTAGTAATATAAAAAACAATATTTCATGCCTGTAATCTCACATAGCACTAAAAAAAACAAAAACAAAACAAAAAAAAAAACAACATCAAAAAAAGACAGTACGCCTCTTTCCTTTCCATCAGAAGAAAAGGTACAAAGAGACTTCAATGCGTAATGTCCATGTCGAGAGGACTTTTATCCCCATATTTGTCGGGAGCCATTCCGCATCCCTGGAAACATCTCACCGAGGTAGTTAACGTAGGAAAAAGCGAAGGACGATAAGTTACCAGAGGAGTCCTTGGTTGTTTTGAAGGAGGAAAAAAGGGTAAGTGATTGGATGTGTTCAGTCATCTGAAACCGCACCTTTCTGTTCTTTTTAGTGGTAGTGTATTCAGAGATCGATGTCAACACAGTCATTGCTGGTACAGTGGAAACAGGTGGAACTAATAGAGGTATTTCTAGGTGAACGATTTTTATTTCGTAAATGTTCTCAATCACCACAAATATTTAGATAGTCTATTACACAAATATCAGCCTACTCTACGACCTTTAGTCTCCTGGACGAAACAGAAGGTATAGATGATGCCCAAGGCGG